CGAAGGACGTGATGACCCTGATGACATCTGTTTTCGCCAATGAAATCAATCATACACAGAGCAGGTACGAACTTTTCAACCTCCGCCAAAAGCAGCGCCCGCTGGAAGTATTCCTCGAAGAACTGGAAAGAAAGGTCGAAGAGTGTAATTTCTGCAAATCATGCCAGCCATCGCTACTCGCCTCGTTATTCATCATCGGCCTCGACAACCCCGCAGCAAAACAGCATGTGTTGCATCACGGCGCCGAGGCGACTACAACTCAGAAGGCTCTCAAAATTTGTCGTGACTTCCTGAACGCTAAGAAAATCGAGTCCCAAATCAGCGGTACCGCCATCACTGCCGAGAACGAATATCACCATCTGGATGCGATCGACAACCGAAAACCTGCCCGCCGTTCGGCTCCAAGAGTGATATGCAAATCGGGCTGCCGTTTCCATCCAGAGGGCAGATGCCGAGCTGCTTCAATCAGATGCTTGACCTGCAGAAAACTCGGTCATTACGCAAACGCGTGCTCAAACAAAGTACATGAAATTGAGACGGAGGCAGAGAATCAAAACCCCGTCAACCTCGACTGTGACGAAATCCGCATTTTCTCGCTAAACCTTCACGCAATCAGTAGTGCCAACCAAGTGTGGTGGCAACAGCGACTCATCCGGCCATCTAATACACCCATTAACTTCAAAATCGACACTGGAGCCCAAGTCTCAATCATCTCATGGCAAGAGTTCAAAAAAATTCGCAACACAGTCCGCCTGACCTCTACCCAGAAAACGATTGTCTCGTACTCAAATCATCGACTCCCGATTGCAGGAACGTGCGAACTCCACTGCGAGAAACCCGGAGACCCAGGAGTTAATAGAATAGTTTTCTATGTGGTTCACACAAACGGACCACCGATCCTTGGTCTGCCGGAATGCATCGCTCTGAACCTCGTCCAGCGACCAATTCCGGATCCCGCACCCGTTCACTCTCTGGAAGACGACCAGCCCCACATCATCACCAAGAATTCCGATTTGTTCGACGGCAAACTTGGACGCATCAACGCCCCGCAGGCACTCAGGTTCAAAAGTGGGAGTAAACCACCATCGAAAATTTTTCCCCCGCGGAGAGTCCCAATACGCATTAAAGACAAGGTCCGAAAACAACTTGTCGACATGGTCAATCGGGGCATCATTCAGAGAGTGACTCGTCCAACCGAATACGTCCTTCCTATCGTAATCGTGGCCAAGCAGGACGGGGGGCTGAGACTATGTCTCGATCCGCGGTATGTCAACCCTCATCTCCAGCGGAAGAATTTCCCAATGCCAAAGACGGACGAGCTTCTTGCGGCGCTGAGTGGCGCCCAATACTACACGGTAGTCGATGGGGACTCGGCTTTCTGGCACCTTCCCCTTGACAGAGAATCGCGAGACATCTGCACGTTCGCACCCAGTGGGGAATTTCCAATTTAAAGACTACCGTTCGGAATCGTGGACG